TGGTACTATACTAGCCTGCGTCCTTAGTCCAACGCAGGGATAACCCCCTGTCAGTTGCGTTACGATTAGCGAGAATGCCCCAGGCAGCGATTCAAGATCCGAGGTTTTTGTCATGACAACTGGAGATCTCATACAATTTGACATTTTGAATTCGAGGCTACCAATATATCACCCCTTGTCCTGAGGTCAATGGAGCAGATTCCAAATATTCAGAGGGGAGATGGAACTATATATTATCATTATATAGTAACTGACAAATAAGTATCCCTGTGAAGGGTATATATGGAACGCCTCACAAGTACTTCGTGCGGACAGTACAATACGTAATACGATACGATACGTGTACCGCGATGACCAAAAGAGTAAATGGGTAAAGTAAAGCATTCACCTAGCAGAAGTTCTAGTAGAACACCCTTGTTCCAAAGAGTGGAGCGAACGGCCCTCTCGCATCCGCCGCTGTTTCCTGACTGTCGGGCCTCCAGCTTGCAAAATGCGAACCTCAGGGGGTCCGAGCACCCCAACTGTCGGCGGCAGTCCGCTGTCAGTCCAGTCCAGTCCTGTATTCCACAGGACCAAGAAGTGAAACCTGTCCGGAAATACGGAATTTCGGAGCCTTAGGTACCACTCTTGGGACCGACAGGGCTTGCATGATCGTCGCGCAGACTCGCTACGGACCTACCAAGTCGGGTATGGAGCAATATAAAATGGAGTCTCCGTACGAGGAGATTTTCTGGTTGACAAGGATTTGAGTTTTTTGAGTTTTCAATAGACTTGACATTAGAGAAACTGTGCCGACATGTCATGTTGTTTAACTCTGTGACAGTTAACAAAAAGGGTAAAAGAAGCTGTGCGATTATCAGTGATCAGGACAAAGCACCTACATTCTGCAGGTACCTGACGATAACGCCAGAGATGTCATGAAGCGATCATTAATCTACGCCCTGATTGCAATCTAGCACCACGTAACCAGCGTCGATCATTGCACAGATCTTACAAATCATGCCGTGCAATGGCAGAGGGGCAGTCGGCAGACTATTGGAGCCCCTATACAGTCTATGAGTAGTGGCTAGGACGGAGAACTCCGCAGTGATGTCGATGGGGTTCAATCCATGTATGTCGGTAAGTTTGGTATGAAAGTATCAGGCCGTGTCGGGCAAAGGTTCAACGAGGATGATCGAGATTACCGTGTCTACGATCTCACTTGGACACTCAATCAGAATGAACGGGATGATTGATCTCTGGATGATGACGTAGGAATGTTCCTTAAGGGACCTTTTCCAGATACATGCCGTAGGTCAACAATGTCATTACAAAATAAGTTAGTTGGAGTAACACTGCGTACAGAGTAATTAGTCTACTCATAGTAGTCTAGTCTAAAAATGTTAAGATATGGGCCCAATGCATAGTAACAAACAAGACAAACATTGCTCGGGCTTCATGTCTCAGTTTGTACCCGCTCGGGGACCATCGCGGCCATGTGGTTCCCGATACGCCCAAGCGCCGACACGGGAAGACCCCGATTTTCCCCATTGGGAGTTGACGTCGCATCCATCACGAACTACGGAGTACACTACATCCTTCCACTCGCAGTGCTACCATTCCTGTGCTGATATTCCACTCTAGCAGAGAGCTCCTTCCACCTATGGTATGGGAGTTGCAGAACTTGTGTGTGTGTCGGCGTCTGTAGCTATCCTGGGTCATCGTGTCGGGAAGTGGCAGGCCTTTGCGTCCTGAGATTCCAAATACTCCTACTGGTGTGGTGAGCTTGCGGCTGCCGTTCCACCTTTTCCTCTCATCTATGCTCGGAGAAGTGCCGTGGGGCGCGGGGCGGAGGGCATGACCGTTCTCGTCATCATGGCCGTCACGATGACCAGTTGCTCGCTTCTCGTCCCGGACCCCGGTGGTACATCCGAGCAGGCTTCAGGTTGGGGCTCGATATCGCCAATGATAGAGAATCAATGTTTGCCACCCGTGAGATGCGTGCTCTGGCTAGGATTGGCGGAAATGCAATGTGATGTGATGGCACTATTGAGTATCTCGATGCTGCGTCACTTCAGCTTCAACTGACTTGTCGTATCTGACAAATTGTTCTCTCGGCCCTTGTCCCAGGATTCAAGGCACCGTACGGACTACGAGTACCTATGCACTGAGGGCCTCGACTGGTCGCTGACTGGGAAAGTCCAGACTGGTTCTACCGTTTTCTCCCTCCGCACCCTGAACGGCTGAACCAGCTATCTCAGACAAATGAACGGACTTCCCGCTGTCAGTGCAGTTTAACTCGGCGCCTCAACGGTGTACCACAATCATGACGGACGTTTGCCGCAAGAGACCAGAGCCATCTTAATAATACGTACATTACTCCGTGTAGTACCATAGCATACAGCATGTACATTGGACGAACTGTTGGATTTCAGAGACCCATACCCCGTATGCTAATCCAGAATTGACCAGGACACCCGAATAGGTTTCCAACTTCTCCTGATTATGCTTAGTGAAGTCAAGTCGGTGGATCAACCTTGATCTGGCCCAACCAGCCTGAGCCAATGGTTCACCCGGCCAAGAGACCGAATCGACACCGTCCAAACTCAATCTGAGTCCCAGCGCCCAGGAACTAGTCTAACTGTTATTTGAATTTCCTCACGGTAAGCGTAAAACACAGACGACTGTGCCTGTGCCTCCCCTTCAGCAAATGTCGGTAAAAATCCGGTTAATCCCCGCAGCATGCAAATCAAGGCGAGCAAATAGCAGTAAACCTAACCCTGTGGCAGTCTGCTAGCTTGGTACTACACTTCTGCTACGTACAAATAGAGGTCAAGCACTGAAATCGCAGGGGATCGACGGGCTACCCTGGGCCGGGCAATCGGGGACCATGAAGGGGATCACTTCGTATCAATATATCCTCGACTCTGGCACTGACTTTGACTTCTTCAGACCTAGCGCTCCATCCTGGTATGGTATGACTGGTATGTGGTATCAGTATCACCGTTGTCAACTCTCGACTGTCACTAACACCAACGGTAGCTACGGAGTGAAGCCCTAGAGGATAGATACTGGGTCGACCAGACTAGCTGTCGCACCAGCTTAACACATGACTGTCAAAACTGGCCACGAACCATGAAGGGACGAGGTGGATCCGCGCACCTGCACTATCGTCCCAAAACGCACCCTCGTCCGAAGCCAGGTCGATGACGCCATGCCATGCCATGCCATCCATTTTCGCTCTTGCAATAGGAATGAATGTCTAGTCTTAGTCCAGACTTGGTCCAGACTGTCCAGACTGTCTCCAGGTTCGATACTCGATAGAAATACTTGACTGAGGAGGAGTGGTGACTACCGTTCTCCATACTTCGTAGACTCCGCCTATTCGGGGCATAACACCGACAGAAGCAGGATCGAGCGAGTCAGTTCTGTCGAGTGCTCATGAACCAGGTCCAACCACACATTCTGAGAAGCTCTGCGCTAGACAGTCAGGCGTCATAGGTCGAGCTCCCACGAATCCATTAGTCCTGAGGCATGCTTACGCTCGCTGAAGTAGGAGCCATGCCTGATCACTAGGAATATGACGATAGGTAATTCTTCCTGGAACATGCTTCCAGGACATCGATGAAGAGATCCAGATCGTTCTGAGTATGATAGACACTATACATATCATTCCTTATTGATATCTGGTACATACGACCATAGGGTGTGGAAAACAGGGCTTCCCGTCCGCTCAGCCGTACTTAAGCCACACGCCGGCCGGTTAGTAGTTGGGTGGGTGACCACCAGCGAATCCCGGCTGTTGTATGTTTTTTGTTCTGTCTTTTTGCTTCATTATGCCAATGCTGCTCTGATCTTCAGCGCTGTTCGCCCTCAACTGCACTCTGCCTGAATTATACTCAAAGTGCCGTCTAAAACCCACTTACTTCCCCGCCGCTGACGTGTCCTCATCACCCTAGGATCACATACCAAAAGGAGCCACTGGTAGACCTTGCAAGAGAACAAGCCTAAAGAATCCATCCCGCAGCAACGAAGCGAGACGTTTGCGCATTGCAGCCGTGCTCCGGATTCCGAGTCTGCAGGCGGAGAACGGAGACAAGGGCGTGTCGATTGAACGCCTTGCCGAGAAGGTGGGAATCAAGACGAGGAAGCTCTGTTCTGTCCTTTCCTAGCCACTGTTATTTTGAATATCAGATTCTCATGGAAATCCGCGATGGATGGGCAGGTGACTGGTCGTATCATGCGCTGTCTCTGCTTGGTTTGCATCTTCTGGAATCATGAACCTAGATTATACAATGAGCGTTAGAAGAGACTATGGTGGTTGGGCTTAGGACAGACCCGACTAAGAGCCATGGTAAGTCGGACACAGCATCAAATTAGTTGGCGATAGCCTGGGGATCTCATCCTCAGTGTGTCTTTTCTTGTCTGACTGAGTGTGTGCAACATACAGGAATGGTGTTTGCTGTGATGGTGTTGTCAAGAGCATAAACAAAAATAGCTGTGAGTGTGCTCAGGAAGAATAGAAACCGCTGAGATGGGCAGGCCAGCCACGGCAAACCAAATGGATGCTGAGGAAAGAACGTTACACGAAATCTGGTGATGGTTCGGACATCCCTCGAATCCTCGGGGGATCCATTGGCGTCACCTTGCGGCACCTCAACTCTGCAACACGGAGAAACATAGCTGGCGAGTCTCAAGTTGATAAGATATCCATTTGTCGCCAGCTGCATGATGCACTCTATGTGATATTGTCAACCAGGATCTACGCTATCATTCCTTCCTACTATGCTAGAAATGGTTGTCCAGACGCCGGAAGATGGCTGATATATATATTCAACCCGCAGCATCCTCGCCCTCTTATCGTTTCCTACTTCTCTGTCACCATTTTGAACCTCGCCTCCACTTCACCGCTACAAAGGCTTATCTACATTATACATTTCTTGACCACTATAGCACACGTATGGCTCATCACAGGGGGCTCCTCTTGCTTTGGCCGGCAGATTGCTATTGCCGCTGCCAAGATGGCCGACACCGTGGTCGCGAGTCTCGCGACTTCGTGGGATCCCTCTAAATTGGAGGATCTCAAATTGATTGGAATATCTTTCCACAGCGCCTCGATATCTGCGCCAGTGACGCCGATGTCCAGGCCCGTGTAGCCGAGAACTTTACCGCGGTAGGTCGTATCGATGTCGTGGTGAACAACGTGGGGTATATTCTTGAGGGAGCCATCGAGGAGTGCAGGTAGGCAGTCATTGTTTTACCTTGCGAACGGCCCCAGCGCCGCGGATATTGAAGCCCACAGTTCAGTGCCCATGTCTTTAGCCAACTGCGTCTTCTCCGCGCTGTTCTGCCAACAATGCACGCACAGAGATCGGGCACTGTCGCTAATATGGAAGCTGCGATCCAGCGTGTCTTAACGGCTGCTAAGTCAGCAGGCAAGAAGGCAGCCATTTCCGTACGTCTTTCCCCGGTCCCTATGCCACGAATTGCTCAATAGCGCGCGCGATGATGTGCTGACAATCATTTTCATGGCCCTCATCGTTGGCTCGGCCTTCTACAGAACACCCGATCCAACCGCAGGGTTCGCTTCAAAAGGCGGATTGCTGTTCTTTGCAGGGCTACTCAACACTTTCACCGCGATGAGCGCGATTAACAACCTCTATTCTCAAAGTCCCACAGTCGTGAAACAGGCATCCTACACTTTTTATCATCCCTCAACAGAAGCCATTGCTGGAGTAATCGGTGATATCCTTGTAAAATTCGTTGTCGCGGTCGTCTTTAACACCATCATGTATTTCATGGGGTATCTCCGTAGGGAGGCGTCACAGTTTTTCATCTACATCCTCATCACATTTGTGATCATGCTCGTGATGAGCGCCGTCTTCAGGACAGTGGCAGCAGTCACGAAGACTATATCTCAGGCTATAGGACTAGCTGAAGGCCTCATCGTCGCCCTCATCGTCGGATGCGGATCTGGTATCGGAGGGTGGGTCGAAGCTGTTTGAGCTGAAGAATGGGATGTTGCATCATAATGTTGATTACACGCCCTTCGAGGGGAAGACCCTCTCGCGGCGGCCGAGCTATACCTTGTTGAGAAAAGAGGTTGTCTATTCATCGGGAGAATGGAGGCGTCGTGGGGGAGAAAGGCGTTGGGCACTTCGTTGAGAGAGGGCGCAGTGAAGTCTCTGTCAGGACCGAGAACTCTGGGGTCCAGAGAAGTTCCAGATTCAAAGTCAATATATTTGTTCGAAATGGCTTGTATATACATTAGTCTTCAGTCCCTATCAACAAGAAAAGGGGCTAACTAAAGCGGGCTCCCTCAAAGATCCCCCCAATGACTATCCAACAACAACTTCCACTTCTTGAAAAACCACGGCGCAACCTCCCAGCTCCCCACCTCCCACGGCTGCCCACTCCCACTCCCACTCCCCGACCCCAAACAAAGTAAACCCCCTTGAAGAATGTCCCCCTTCAGCTCAAACATATCAACTAAATGTGGCACGGCCGCTGAGAGAATAATTGCCCTAGACCTTAGAGTCGGGATCGGGATGAGATCGAATAGTGGATGATGCGGAATTAGGACCTGTGGGAGGGTTGGCTGGAGATGTGCGGGGACTAGAGGGTATGGCGTCGAAACGTCGGATAGGAGTTTTTGAGGGTCCGTGGAGGAGGTTGTTTGGCGGTAGAAGGGCGAGCACAGGGACATACAGTTGTAAGAGAAGAACTCTTCGATGCTTATCCCGATTATTGGGGCATTGTACAGGCAGGCGGAGAAAAAGTTTGTTTTGGGGGTTTGGAGGCGGTTTTTGTAAGGGTCTGCGAGGTACGTTGATGATGTGTTACAATGGGGGCTGTGTCCCTGCCGGGAGAACTGGGGTGTGCAGGCCGAGGTCGGGTTTGAGGTGCTTGTGGCGAAGTGTTCTGCGCTCTCGTCGTTGACTTCTTCTGCGGGTGTCGGGCAGAAGGGTTGCTCATTGGACTCAGCCAGCAGATAATCGACGTTGAGGCTCCAGTTGGGCGTTGAGTTTGAAAGCAAGAGTTCCAAGAGGCCTACCCCCCCGTATGGACCGACAGTCGAGCCGCTAATTGATTGTGTTGCTGGCAGAGGTTCACTAGAAGGTGTCGAGACCGACAAATCTGTACCGGATATACTATAAAACGGAGTTTCTGGTGCGTCGGGCAGAATATATGACTGGCCGAAACCTTCATGAGCCGGACCACTCGAAGCCTCGCCTTCGACATTTTTAGTAGGATACGGCTGAAGCTGCTGATACCGACTAGCACCCCCCTTCTCCCCCGTCCTAGCCCTATTACTCTGCAACCGCTCCTTCTGTCTTTGACCTAGATACGTATTAGCCAACCCACCAAAACCAGTTCAGAACGACTTACGATAAGCCCGCTGCGCCTCCCTATTCTGCAACTTCCGTGCCTCGGTAATAACCCGCTTCGGCCTGGCGAATTTGGGTTTCGGTTGCGCTCCCGGCGTCTGCTGCATCGTGATTCGCAGTGGTAGTGGCTTACTGGCGGGGAGCCTCTCATACGATTCTGCTCGGAGTTGGGTTGTGAGGAAGATGGCGCGACGTTGGCTGACGCTGCTCTCTTGTTGGCGTCTGGCGATGGGCGAAGCGGCGAGGGAACTTGAGGCAGTTGAACACCCGCAGTGAGCTTGAAAACTGGCAAATAAAGTAGAGTCTCGATCAATGAGACTCAGCGAGCGATTTAACCAAATTTCGCCTAGTGGAGTGGTCTCATCGTGCCGGAAATTTGCAGTGGCTTATGGGTTTTCCTCCAATCAACAGCGAGTAAGCCCATAAGCCAGATGCAAATCACAAGAACTTGATCATGGATTCTGGCCAATGGAGTAATGGAGTAATGGAATGGTTTGGAGCTGGACATAGTAGAGCATCAATGTCGGCGTCATCAATGAATCTGTGTATATCCAGCGCAGTCGTCAGACTATATAAACCAGTCTCTCGAATCTTCATACCATCACCAAGCTTAACAAATAACAACGCAACATCACAATACCTGTTCAGAAGCACAATCTATTCGAGCAGTCACCAATAACCAACATCTCCAAAACCAACTCCGAAATCACATTCCCAAAGATGTCGAAAGTATTCGCCATAATCAGCGCAACCGGAAACCAAGGGTCCTCCGTCGCGCACACCTTCCTTGACACCCCGAACTGGACCGTCCGCGCCATAACCCGCAACCCTGTTCGTTTAGCCTAGAGTTCTGTTCTTAAGAGCCTTTGCCAATTCCTGCATTGACTGAATTTGATTAAGATTGGATGCAAGGTCTGACGGACTCCAGATCGTGTCGGAGATAGAGCGAATCTTTTTCAGTTAAACGTGCTGTGGCGGGCTAATAACTTAACCCAGAGTCCTACTGTTATCTTTGCAGGGTGTGTAATTCTCCCACTTCTACCAGACATGACAATCACATCACACCGTGGGAAAATGGAGATATAAATACCCTCCTCTTCTTCTCCTAGGAGAAACTACCTTCCATCAGAATACAGCCGCAAACAAACAACAAAGCGATCAATCTGAGATCGATCACCAGACGGCGGCGGGCAATTTCTCACCATGACGAACCTTTACTAGTTTCTCGTCTAAGTACAGTTGCCAGAGGGCACTGGGCCAAAACGAGGTCTTCGTCAGTGCCCTTTGTCACCCCCTGATTTTTGCCTGTCACTCGCCCCTCTATACGGTGGTGCATATATGTCGGCAAGTCCTGGTTGCAAACTCTTCCTTCCTCCCCTTCGGAAAATTGAAGCAGTCATTATGTGTTGATCAGTGTCAACTGGGTCGTTGGCTAGGAGAATATTTGGCCTACGTTTATTATTCTATTGCAAGCCTGGAGATTCTTCTCTCTCCCGCGAGTTTGCACAGTTGTCCTCCATTCATTCAAGCCTCCAAGAGGACTTGAAATGCGTATTTAAATGCTTCCGAACTAGCCCTCAGAAACATACCAGGCAGCGCTGTCCAATCAAGTCTTCGGCTCGATGCGATTTCAACCATTTTGGCTGGGGCTGGACTGTCTCTCTACCATTCCTCATAAAAAGAGGAATTTTACCAGAATGGATAGCCGTAAAGTTAACCGCACCTGCACAATATATATATATAGAATAATATAGCCCAGCTACGCACCAGTGGTCAGCTCGGATGGCGAAAAATCAAACCACGAACGAATATATTGCTATTCTGAAGAATTAGACAAGTACATTTGTCAACAGTGTCTAAGTTAAACGCCTTGCCCTCACCAAGGAATAGCTCCATTAGAGCTACTAAAAGTCCTCGTCTCCCCATCCTCTCCCAATGTCGCCATCTCAACAACTCTCTTTGCCCCTTCCTCCGGCGTAACTCCATACTCATTCCACCGGGTCATGTTCGTCTTCACATACCCCGGACAAACCGCGTTAACCTTCCCGCCAACGGGATCCAGCACACGCGCATAGTTAAGCATAAGCATGTTCAACGCAGCCTTACTCGCATCATAAACCTTATAATCAATGGGATACCAGGGGAGCGATGTATCCGTAGCTTTGTCCAGGCTCCCCATGGTGCTAGTAAGGAATACTATTCGCGGCGGGCCGGCCTTTGCCCTTTGGAGGAGTGGTACGAGGTATTCTGTCAAGACGCCGGTGCCAATAACATTGGTTGTGAATGTCCTGTTATATATCTCCCATGGGGTAAGGCTTTTTTCGCAATCGATGAGGATCCCGGCGTTATTAATCAGGACGTCGAGGTAGCCAAAGTCGCGTTCAATAGTGGACACTGCAGCTTTGATGGAGTCTTCAGAGGTGAGGTCGAGCTGGAGAGATGTTGCTCGATGTCCCCCGTTGCGGATGTCGGCTGCGACTGCTTCGCCGGCTTCAGGGTTTCTGCTGCTGATGATGACGTGGTAGTTGTGCTTCGCGGCGAGGATCTGGGCTGTTGCTCGTCCGACGCCTTGGTTGGCGCCGGTTATCAGGACGAGAGGATGAGACATATTGATTGTACCAGAACCGAGTAGTGAAAGGCTGCGAAGATTATGAATGTGGGTGATGTTGGGACTGGCGGTGGGTTATATACCTAGCACGGGTCCATCATGGATATTCAATCCGGTAAATGCCAGCGAGAGTGCTTACAAATTCAATTCAATACTTCCAGGGTGAATTCTCATAGTCTTAAACAATTTAGGGTAATGTCATCTAGCAACGCCTTACCGAATTCCATCCAGTGCCAGGACCTGAAGTGAACGGCTTATGGGTTCCACCCAATGAGGGTTAAGTGGCTTACTATACTATACCTTCACCGCAGCCCAGCCTCCTCATCAACTCCAACGCCCGAGGAAGGACTTCTGGAACTAGTTACAAAGAGTGTGGATACTAAGTACAGGTCTGGGTATATTCCTCTCATACACAATTCCTTTCTCTCAGTCGGGTATCTCCGAATCCGCCTGCGGACAGTGTGGTCGTGCGCATGTTGAACTTCCCTATTATATGCGCACAGCGGGAGAAAAGTCTGAACTAGACGTGCAGTATTGGAGCTCTGTTTCAATGGATAGCGTACCTGAACATCTTCGCTTCATATCCTCGGTGGCACCGTGGACGAAGGATACCATCCACGGGAGACTATGTGTGGAGGCCGCTTGAAACAAAATGTTGTGCTCCATCTCACTCGTGTTTACTGGTAGCTTTTAGAAAGAAACCATTGACATGACACACTGTAGGGAGGTGGGATAAAGTGAGTTGTGACCATATCCCTGGCAGTTACGGCATCTCAGTGGTCGCTGTATGTAACAATATTCAGAGGTAAATGAGACCTCTCCGCAGATCTGTACCATTGTCTGGTGGAGCAGCCGGGTCACATCACTTTCCTGAGGGAGGAATACCACCATCGACCCATAGGACTTTGGTCCACTAAGCCAATATAGCTTCCTCACTTCAGTGTTGTTTTCGTCTGTGGACTTTCTATAGAACTTCTCTCTTACTTCTCCGTCCTTGTTGAATATGTTCGACTTCCATACACTGTCAAACTTGATGGGGAACCATGTTTCACCATTTAGTTTTACTCCGTTGAAGGTCTTCAGCCATTGCTGGTGTTCCTGCATCATGCAAACATCCCCTTCACTGGCAGGAAACACCCTGACTATTGACCCTGGTGTGACTTTGGCCCCTTCAATTCTGGCTTACCCTGTGTCCTGATGTCTTCTGAGTATGTTTTGGATTGTGCTTTTGGCAGTGGTTCCATCAGCTAGTTCCCGCTTGGTGTTTTTATCAGCGCTTCTCACGTAAATGGTTACATTCAGTAGTGTGAGTGCTATAGTTGTTGATTCTATTGCTGGTGAAATAGCTGATAATGCAGTAACTACTGATGCTCAGCTTCTACCTATGCTAGGTATTTATGTGGCCAGTATTGTTGATAGGGTGGTCTTGGATGTAGTCTCATGGATTTCTTAGACAGTCTTTTTTAGCTCATCGATCTGGTATAATTCTATTGTTTTGTTCAACCCATCAATGCAATTTTGTAGGCTTATAATTTCCTCTTAGTGTTGCTTTTCTTGTTCCTCTGGCGCCCTTTTCTGCTCCCTATCTTTGGTTTGGAGCAACTGATGTAGCTTCTAAAGGTCAGCATCTTGGGTTTTGATTTGCTTTATAATAGTGTTCAACTTAACCTCCGTGTCAGTTATTACGTTGATATCTTCCCTGGGCGCGTTTATACGTGTCTGTTTGGTTATCTGGTTCCTTAACGGCTTAACCTGGGATTGTGTCCCCACATCGCGTTCAAGGTCGTCGATAAGTTGCTTTGGTTTTTGGATAGTTTGCCTGGAACATCTCTGAGCGGACAGTTTGCCTGTCGAGGCCTCTCTGTCGGATTCGCTCGTCTTTCTTCCCGTTTCCATCCACGAAGATACCTAGTAGTATGCTATAGTCATACGAGTTGTGTTGGCGGCGGCCTTACGGCCACCGCTGTACACGTGTTGCCGGTCAGTAAACTTTCATATTCTTGCTACATGATGTATCTGTCTATTTATGCTTCAGTAGTATGATGCGCCGGCTGTTTTTGCGTACGACGGAGTCGCTGGTCTCATAGCTCATGGTGGAAGGCCAGATTTGGTGTATATCGATAAGCGCACACCCATCTCCCATGCAGGGAGAGAACGTGATGAGGACATCTGGCATTACTCACGTCTTTCTGGGTGTGAATTGCTGGCCTGCAGGGTCTTGAGAGATACCTTCCCACATAGTAAGGTCATAGAGCAAAAATGAAGCAGACTCACCAACATGCCGGCTAACAAAGCCACAACACTTTAAGATCTCCGGTCATTTCGCTGCTTTGTTACTTTTGAGTCTTACAGAGCACTTCTGCAACACTACCAGACAGCTACTCCTGAGACTCCATCATGACTTCGGCTCAGAACCCAATGGGCTGTTGACTCTAAGCCTGACCGATATGTGTAGTATAGCACGAATTGACTCGTCAAAAAATGAGACACACAGACAATGGGAGAACGCCTTGGGGAGATTTCCAATAGAAATGGTATGAGCTTGCCTCGGTACTGTGTTCATTTGTACCTCCATCAAAAGATTTCAGTACCTCTCTACTGAATTAACAAAAAGCATCAAAAACATACAACAGCCGGGATTCGCTGGTGGTCACCCACCCAACTACTAACCGGCCGGCGTGTGGCTTAAGTACGGCTGAGCGGACGGGAAGCCCTGTTTTCCACACCCTATGGTCGTATGTACCAGTTCTGGGCTGAGTCTAACTGATATTGATTCTTGAAAGGTGGCTATCTCCTTCCAGAGCTTAGACAAGTTTGTTGAAGGCTGCATAGGCGCGAAGCATCTACAGTGACACTCGATTATTCTTAGTGTAAAGACAGGTAGGTATAACCACCCCAACGCAAGTATCGAACCACCAGCAGTAAATTCTACTTATAGTTGTATCTTCTTAAGACCCAGCAAATATCTGAGACCATGCTTTTCCATTTCCATAGCCCTCTGCCCCGCCAGCTTATCTGACTACCAGTCTCTGTCCTTCTATTGTCCTTGCACCAGCCCCTCCACTATTTCATTTAGTTTATTCTGTGGCTTGAATTGTACAGTTAGCTGGCCTCTCTGTCCTGTCCCCGGCAAACAAAGTAATTACAGTGTAGTAAGGAATGGGCCATGATCAGCTTGATCTTGTGGGCGGCGAAGAAGTGCCTAAAGTAGGTGTACTTCCTGTACCCCCAGCTCAGACTGGATGAAATGTTGCTTGTCACAAACCTAGTAGTGGGCATTTTCTCACTGTTGGGAGTTTTAGAGTGAAGGACAAGACAAAATAGCAAAAAGGTTGAGGAAGTGGGGTATAGCATTTATCATAACAGAGCCAGTAACTAGAGAGATAACCCAGACATTAAAGGGCTGCACTTCCAACCAGAGAGTCTCACTCCAAGACAACAGAGTGCCTTTTGAGGCGTTGTGGACACCTGGTGCAAACATATCAGCAAGTAATCCCTTTTTCTTTTCTTTTTATTGAACCGGCCTAGGAAGAGAAGCCTTACTTATCCAGGGGGCATAAAAGAAGCCCAAGATAGAACAGATGCTTATAAGGGTTCTGCCATTCTTAGCAGCTGCAGCAACAGCATGACAGCCTGGTTAATAGCGAAGACACCCCAGAAACTGATATCAAATAGACGCTTAGCCTCATTGATCAAGGTGCCCAGTACGGGATAGACAAGGGATTACCCAGCATTAATGATGAGGCTGTTGAGGGAGTCAGTATATGAAGACAAACCCTGTCTAATAGTATTAATAGCAGTAGCTATGCTAGCTGGGTTGTTAATATTAAGGCTAACAAAAGTAACATTAGAAAGTTTAGTTAAGATGGTTCATCTTCATCTTAGCCAGGGAGCAGGCAGTCGCATAGACTCTTAGCTCTTAGGTGTGGAGTTCCTCCACCAGGGCTGAGCTGATACCACCGGTGTTGCAGCTAGTGACAAGGGCGCAATATGGCATTGTTCTCAAAATCACCAATGTAAAAGGGAGGCAGGAAGAGATAATAAAAAATGTAATGGAGAAGAGGATGGGAGAAGGGAGTGGGGAGAAAAATAAGATCGGACTTTTAGGTTGTTCCTTCTATTTTTGTTTTTGCTTGTGTTTCCCTCCTTAGTTACTAGAAAGGTAAAGTTCTGGAGTTAATAAGGAAAGGTAGCCAGCTAGCCCAGTAGCTAGTAGCTGGCCCCTCACACTGCTTTCCTGCTAGGTAGAATCAGGCTCCCCCATTTCCACAAGCAACAACCTACAATACAGCACAGCTGATACTTATGAGGAAGCCTCCAGAAGGTAGGCAGTACCTAGTACCCCAGCAATGGTGCTAGAGGCCTGTTTCCGAGATTGGCCTGGCGTTCATCAAACTCAGCCTTGGGGTCATTAAGTGCGAATTAGGCATTATCCTAGAGCTCAAGCAGCTTATAGCAGCTTATAGCCGATCTTACAATCTCCTAATGCTTACAGAATCATAAATCTGGATTAGGCGGTCAGTACTGGAAACCCGAAGGGAGAGATTCAAAGACTCTTCTGCAAAGGGATTCTGAATAAGCAATTACCGCATTTAACATCAAGGCCAGGGAGGTACTAGCGAGCCGCGGAGTGCGGCCTTCCTCGTTTCTTATATAAAATGAGTCTTGGAAGGGTTTGGCTTGTACACCGGTTAGAGCCTTTTGGAATCAGTCCAATATTACTTTCAGAAAGTGACAGCAAACGTTGTCAAATAGAAGACGACTGAGAAATCTGGTATCAAGCCAATTATTAATCAGATAAGCAAATGGCCATCGCTTAAGTCTCAAAGGGAGGAAATTCTTTTTGCTATTCAGCCCTCCTATAGTCCGTCTGCACATGGACAGTCTTCATAATTCCTAAAGGAATGCTGTCCTTATCTGGAGCTGATAGAGCTGCTTCACTGACATGTGCCTCACTCTTGGCATTCATAAGATAGTAGTCGTCCTGCTTTCCACCATCTTCACTTGGGAGAGGTCGACCCTTTGATCCCGACATATTCTGGCGAGGCCATCTGGAACCTGATCTGGGCAACGATGACTGGGACCTATCCTGGCCCCGAATGAATTTCACAAAGCCTGGCAACATTGGAATGGCGCCGGAGAGAATGACAGTACAAATCTCGCCAATTCTGAGGTGACGGTACCACCGTTAGCAAAACATTTATTTGTATACGTAAAGGAAATAACTGATGCCACTCACGCCCATAATCCAATCGGAGCAATTCCCCAGGTGAAATCTTGGGTTCGTGTCAGGTAGACTCCATACACTAGTCGGCATGTGCTCGATATGCAGGCACTGGTCATTTGTCAGCTAAGTCAGTACTAAACCGACAAGAAGACGTGCTGATCATACAAGATGCCTGTCCCAAATACCACGCTCAGAATCAGTTTACTCCTGGGAGGAAGCTGAAGCCGCATAACCACCACCAAAGGGAGCAACAACATGGTTAAATCTGAAAGCACATTCAGAGCTGAAGAAGCAATGAGGATGCCAGTGGATGAGACGCATTGTCCCGGCAGCTGAGGATTCCAGAGCTTTTCGCGGGGGACGCAGGCAAAAGCAAAGCTCACCATCAGGGCAAGATAGCATGGGACGTTTGTCCACAGAAGGATCTCATGCAACCAGTACAGCTTCCCCCTTTTGTTGACCACAAACATTCGCCTCATTTGCAAAAGCATCGCAACTTTGGCACCTAAGATGACTGGGCAGTATATGATTTCAATGATATTCGAAAGCTGTAAGTCAAACCATCAATCAGTTAGTGTGAAGCTTGTAAGAAAGGTAAAGAATATAGAGCACTTTCATGGCTCACGAACCTCAATGACCCTCTGTAGATGGGCTATGGATACGTTCCACTGGTGAATTCCCTGTCCCAGGTGAACTGCATGTATCATCAGTCCTGTGAAGACGTAAAATCCGATTAGAGAGAGTATCAGAATGTATTCCTCCAGTTGCATGAGTCGCATCACTCGGGCTTTTATGAACACCCGCAGGAGAACAGCGGCCGTTGACAGACTCAGACCCAGGCCAGCCGTGATGTACATATAGCGTCGGAGAGAGTAAGGGTCCTCAAGATTGCTGACCTGTCCCGGAGGGGGCTCGAGGGCCGGGACAGTATTCAGATCGATGTTCGCCTCTTCAGCCATGCTTTGCCGTTAGAGCTCCCTCGATACTGCAGTTAGTACAGTTCTAGTACATTTACTGCAGGAGGAGCGTGATAACCGATTTCTTGAGAAGACTCTAGTCAAGACAGAATTGGGCAAAATAGTCATTTTGTACCCCATTCGGTCACGTTTCCCCTTTAAAGGTTGGATCCTCAAAAACTCGAGTGGCGTGTGCTAAACCACGGTTGAGCTTGAATCCGGGGGATAGTCAGAGATCCGAGCCAGCACTAATGAAACTAAGTAGTGGATCCCCAGTAATGAAACGTGCTCAATTGCCGCGTTTGTTAACATAAGAATCAACTGTAGAATGACTCCCCTTTTCTTTTTCCCATGTTTCATTCCCATCCAAAGCAAGCTCTATGTGGACCTTATTTCTGTCCGGATTATTCCTTGGCAGACAGGCATTCACCCAAGCAGGAAGCCAAAGTTAGAGTGCCAAAGTCGGCTATTTTCACAACGATCGGCAATGCAGCGGGGCAGCAGAGCAAGGCGTAGGTTTAATACGAGGTGTCCCAGTTTTAATTAAGTACTTCAGTGGTCGGAAGGTACCGACAAGGTTTAGTGTATGAGTTGCTCTGCATTTACTGGATTCAACCAAGCTTGTCAACTTTAGTTAATGCACATCACGCCAGGTCAAAGTCTAGCCCAGACCAGCCCCTTATTTTGCGTCTCAGTTTGCCACAATGGAAGCCCACTAGCCCATCAGCATCCTCAGCTGCAGAAGGGAGGTTCAAAACAAAGCTATAAAATTCCAAGGTTAAAGGACCTTCATATCTTACGTAAGGTCGCATACCTACTGGACAGCACGAAAAAGGCATGATCAATTATTTCCCGCAGCTCCCATTCTGGTATGAGACATTTAGGCATTGCTCCTTGGGTAAGGCTTCGAAACGCTAAGTTCAACCACAGTTAAATTTCTTCAATCCAACAATTAAGTGTACCCCTTAGCTAGTTCATCTAATCCAGCTCTTGCACATTATTGCTGAAAATCGCTACATGAAGTTCTTGATTATTTATAGTCACTCGACCTCCACTGTATGTTGTCATTGGATCTGAAAGCTCAAACACCCATCAAGCTCCCTTCTAGCCAAGCCTTCTTGTCGGCTTCACAGCCCTGAACCTGACAGCGAAATGGGCCGCCGGCTTTAATCTTAACTGTCATGCTGATGAGCTGCAGCAGTCTGATGATATGTCTGAGCTCCAACTGCTGTCCGCATATCATGTCAAATATGATCTCCTTAATGTGATGACCTCTTGGAATATATTAACAAGTGCGCCTCTAACTCTCTATAAATGCTGAAAGCTTTAGCCTATTAGTGGGAATATATTAACAAGTGCGCCTCTAACTCTCTATAAATGCTGAAAGCTTTAGCCTATTAGTGGCTCCATTTTCCTCTGTGGGAGTTAGCTAGGCAGTTAAGATTCCTTGCAGGATATCAAGGCGCAGCCTTCGCATCTTGTTGTTCAAACCAGCGTCCGAAAGTGAGTTCTCCTTAAACACCTTTTCCAGTACTTTGGGGTCTTGGACAACGAAAGTGGATGTAGAAAGTAATTCTTGGATCTTGTTAAATAATATCTCTGTAGTGGTTGCCATGTTAGCTGGGTTAATACGGCGTGTAGAGAAGAGTTCCAAGACTATTCATTGAGACAGGTATCTTGCTGGCCATATTGCTTTGACGGTGAGAAATAAAGGTAGCAGTTTCGATGGTTAAACTGGAGGTTTCGAGCTGGAAAGACTGATTACTTGTAAGATTAGAACTGATGAGAATTGTTGGGCAGAAGAGTTGCCGCACTTATGTTGAGTCTCCAACAAATTGATTGATAACCACTCCACTGTTCAGGTACTGTAATACAGCGAAAGAAAGGATTTTAGCTCAACAAAAAAAATGATTGATTTTCTTATTTTTCACTTCAAAAGTTTTCATAGATCCCTACTCAAAAATAAATACTAATATGGGATGACTACATTGATCTACTATGTCACAAATGTAAATTGTAAAAGTTTCGTTTGGAAAAAGGGTATAATATAAATAATAAAGACATAATCTTTGACTGGACCTGGAGGTCCTCTCTATTCGGCTACAAGGGGATGTTGAAAACATCAACTAGAGTAATAGTAACGATTCAGGTCGCTTGCGTGCTCTGAACAGGGACTTTTCTGAGTTCCTTAGAGTCCTTCAGTCCCTCAGGTTCTGTATACTGTAGCCAGCTCATAATCTTATAGTGCCCATTACATACAGCCCATATACTAGGTGTCTGATCATATATTAAGTCTCTTAACCATAGGTTAATAGTATTATATTCAGTAATTGTCATACCACATTTCAGTGTCCTCTCACTACAGTCTATAATAACAGTGTTTAACTATAGGTTGTCTCTGCAAGATCAGATCTAATAGATTTAGGTATAAGGAGCTGCTTAACTATACTTACTTAACCTTTCTCTAGGAGAAAGGAAAGGGGAGTCTTACCGTATATTAACATAGAGTTAGGATTCACTAGGCCTGTTATTAGGAGTAATCTAATAGCAGTACCATTCCCTTATTATAGGTATATAATAATGTAGTTCTACTAGACCAGCACCCCTAATACCTAATATCCCTCACACCTGTATCTATTAGATACTTGACCACGTCCTTATTCCCTGGTATTCAGGTAGCCTAAAAAAGGTATTCAGCCATAGAACTAGTCTAGTATTAAGTTCCATAGCCTTAGTTTCAGTGAGAAGCCTGGCCACTTAGAAATAATCAAGTTCAGATATAAGAGATAGTGGTGAGCAACCCTACATATTTTGATAGTCAGGGTTAATATCTGATAGGCATAGAAGCAGCCAGTTAATCACATCATAGCCCCTCAAGCAGCCAACAAAAGCAGGGTGCTCCCATCCTAATCTCAAAATTCCATATGGGCTTTCTGTGTCTGTAAAAGCTTATCCATAATTCTAGTGTAGCCGTTCTCCGCAGCATACAACAGCAGTGTAAGTCCACTAAAACAGGCTTGGTCTAGTTCAATACGTGGTTGATCCAGAAGTCGAGATACCTCTATATATGTTCTTGTTGATATTCGGCTGTGAGCTATTCGCCCTTTTTCTCTCCCAATCGGAAGCTGTTTCCAAGGTTGCGGCACATGTCGCAAACAATAGACTGATAAGTCTCGCAAAAGTCTTTTCTGATTATATTAGTCTGGACGATGTTGAGGCGTTATATAGTTTACGCTGTGTCGACCCAACTGGTGACAATATTATTAGCATCTCGCACACCCTGCTACTTAGGCCAAACTCTTGTCTCGAATATTCTTTATGTCTTTCGTTGGACACACGTAGAATCTCCCACAAGGAGATGCTTCAGCTGTCATAGGTAAATATTAGTCTGTTGTCCTCGAAAAGACATCCTGTAGGTTAATAAGCCTTTTGTGAGACGTTTCGACTGTCCCATCGACAGGAACCTTTAAGATTCACGAGAGGGCATGTCTTGAATGGGTAGTTTCCCGTAATTGCGCGGCCCATACAATTCATCCCCCCAGCAGCTGGTATAATCGGCAGGAATACCTTATCGTCAGGCGGCGGGAATCTCACTGCTCCCTGAACGCTCCAGGCAGGTCCACCTTGACCGTTTCAGATTTAAATCTGGAAAGAACGATGCTCTATGAGGAAACATTCTCCAACTTGAATTGGTAGAATCGTGATCCGCCTTGCGGGAACAAACGATCCTCTAATCTGATTAGACCTTGTCCTGGTCGAACTAACTTGGGAGTCAGGGTTTGGAGACGCAAGAGCGGCTGCAACCACGAACGAGTACCTGGTTATCAGGAGGCAGAAGTCTGGAAAAAGAGAGCAAAGGCTCCACTACCGGGAAGGAAGGCAGCGCAGTCCCTGCATGTTCATGATCAGCGTTGAGAATAAAATCAATATCTGAGTCCAGAAACCAACATACAGATTAGTCTATGGCAAAAGACCCAATGATAAATGCTTTATATTCGCTCACACTAGATAGCAAAGGCAGTGTAAGCTTTCTTATTGCAAGCATCGAAGCCAACCTATTTGTGTGTTATTGTCAGGTTATAAATCAAATTCTTATAGGACCACCGAGGTAAAAAGGATAGCAGATAATTGCATTTGTTAGAAAGAAATACTACAGCCGGTGCAGAGATGTTTTAACAGTTCTTCCAATCCGTTGAGCTTTCTTGCGACATTACACAGAATGGCCAAAAAGGAACGAGGGCATTTGAGTGATACTCAAATATTGCTCAACTACAGCCAGCATATCTGTCATCTGCTTGATTTGCATGGAGTATCCTGTGAGCTGCAAAGTTACATTGACGAAACAAGTCAACAGTCCAGTAGTTATTTTCAGAAGCCGATAGCAGGAGAATAAGAGAAACAGGTTCAACGTACCTTAGTGTAGATCACCACTTCGAACCCATCTTGCCTTGACCATGTCAGCAGCGTATTCCGCAATTGCATGCACGGTCGACTGGATGTTGCCACGTAGGTGCATCGGAAACACGCTAACATCGACAACTCGGAGGTTCACAGTGCCGTGGACTGTTAAATTTGCCTCGACAACTCCACCCTTCTCTAGTGGCATCATCGCACAGGTTCCGATGGGATGGTATTGCGTCGCCAGGTCTTTCTTTATCTCCTCCTTTGCCGAAGCCAAATCGAGGTCAACTGGTATGCAATCAGGAATTTTCCGGCCATTCGTTGCCAGTTTTGAAGCCAGCGGCTCAGTCCCAGCTATGGTTTGGAGATATCTGAAGTGTCGAGCCAGAATCTCACGATCGAGCGGATGCGAGAGGTAACAAGGATTGATGCAAGGCTGATCCAAAGGATCTGAAGACCGAATATGCACATGACCGCGTGAATATGGCGAGCAATATGAGCAGTCAATGTAATATACGCGCCAGCTGCGGACGGATTGAATAGTGCCTGCTGGTCATGCGCTGACTCGGTATGTACTTGAAACGGCAACAACATCAGTTGAGATGTAGATTCCCTTGGATCTGGAAGAGCCTGTTTCAACAATGAATGTAGACTTTTGATGCCACCAGACTCCTGCTTTTCTGTAAATCTTCCATGAGAGTTTGTAATTCTGTCTTTCCTCGCTCCGAGACGAACTCGATGATCGGAAGAAACGCACTGGCCTGGACTCCTGAAGTAAAAGGATCAGACATTTCAGTCTGGAAAGATTCCAGGGCTGTTCTCAGAAGTCCTGGGTCGCGAGGCCTGTCCAAGGATAAATTGGGATCTGCAACTTCATAGGCCAGGGCTGCAAGAGCGTGATCTTGGAGATTCTCGCCGACACCGGGGTTGTTGATCAGTACATCAATACCATGCTTAAAAAGAACATCCCCAGAGCCTATTCGAAATAATTCTAGAATCTGAAGCGATTGGACAGTTCCAGCAGATAAAATGACTTCGCGGCGTGCCTTCACATTTTATTTTCTTCCCTGGGCAAGGAACGAAATTCCACTGGCCATAAACTGCCCATCTTTCGTCGCGTCAAATTTACCTTGAGGACTTGGGCTCCTGTGAAAACAAACATGGCTGACCTCGTTGCGTTTGGGAGGTAGTAAGCATTCTTGGAGTAACTTCGTGTCCGAGACTCAGGATCCACACTTGCAAGGTTTGTAAACCCTCCAATCGCTGTGCCAGAGAGAGGACTCTGGCACATTCTGTGGCCAAGGGTTTCAAACGTTTTCAACCAGGCATCTTGCATATCATGCGGGGTATAGAAGCCAATTTGGATGGGACCCGTGCCACCATAGTCTGTAAGTCGATAATGCGACGTTCCCAGCGGCTTCGCTACTTCGGCTGGAGGCCGTGCAAAGGTTTGGAACTTTCTGTAATAGGGTAGCAGATCATCCCAGGGCCAATGTTCGTTTCCCAGTGACCCCCCAGTCGTTGATTTCCTTCGCAGTCGGGTAAGTTACCTGCATAAAACTTATCGCACTTGAGCCCCCAAGTACTGGGCCATGAGGCCACGCAATCTGACGTCCGTTCAGGTGCTCCTGTGAGAGTAGCATTTGGCCTATTGGAGAATCACTGAGAACTAAGTTGAAAGAGTTACTTGAGGTACGGTCATGAATTTCCAGTCGTACTCAGGGTCACCAGAAAGGGCGCCGCACAGACCTGGCGCCAATATTTTCAGATCGGTCAAATGGGGCTGCCCAGCTTCCAAGACGCCTATAGTAAAAGAGGTTTTTTTGGAGAGTCGGGCAGCGAGCGCCAGACCAGCGGTTCCGCCTCCAACAACCAGGAAGTCATACTGTCGCGATACAAACGATTCCGCGGTCTCCAGAACATTGGACTTTGGGGAGTCCGACATATTGACGTCAAGTATCGTCAAACAAGCAAGTAGCTTTTCTGGGGGTCTTTCTTTTCTCTTCAGGAGAGAGGGCCTTCAAGTTGTTCACTGGAGCCTCAGAGTGTACAAGAAAATCCTCTGCCTCGATTTCAGCAGGGGGCCTGCGCCTTTATGCCTCGTTGAAGCACACATAATCTGAACTATCGGGCGGTACGCTACTTATAAAAAGAAAGATCAGCAGACGTGCAATACAATAAATGTCATTATCTGCAACTTGGACGGACGGCTCAAGCACAGATCGGCTTCTCTTCGCGCATCATGTACTGTGGCCACATCCGAGGTAAGCTTTACACAATGTACTGTTATGAGTTTAAGCGACCTATCAGTAATTTCTCTGAAAGAGATCTCACTGACAGCGTAATGCAGATACAAACAGATTAGGGAAATGGTCAGTAGGCCATGTGGCGGTGAAGCTAACTCATGCCGCAAAACTCCAGTGAATGCAAAAGGATACACCAAAAGACATTCCGAAATATTATTTTCTGAAGCTCGGCCGAAACTCTAAGCATTTTAGTCTTCTTTAATAATGCAACGGGGTTATGGTGCTGTAAGGGATAGAGTTTCGGGGAAGGCTCCGTGGGGATCGACTCTAGTTATAGCTGGTGAAGGGGAATGATGTACTGTTGCTTGGTTGGGATAAGCATAAGGATCTAAGTCAGATCCAACCAATCTAGAACTTTGCCCTGGCAGCTATGCCATCAGCCTGCCACCAGCTACCGCCCCTCCGATGACCAGTGAGCAACACGAGAACAACAACATTAAATGTTCCATATTACATATACAACTAACGGGGGCCCCTCATGATATAGAATTCATCCGCTGTCGTCCCCAGATTCCTCTCGCGCGCCAAGCGCACTAGATCGCCGCCCGTCACTTCTAGATCCATTCGTCCCTTGGCGCTTTGAAAATCTCGCCCCGATTCCACTCTTGCCGCGCCGTTGGGACTAGTCGGCGTTGGGTGGTCCCTTTGAGCGTGATTTTGAAGGCCTATTCTCAGCTGCCAAGTCGGATCTATTAACAAGAGAAGAGAAACCTGCGCGGGAAAAAAAAGCAGCCGAAAGATTTTCCGGTGTAACATACAAAGATTAAAAATAACGTCTGCACAAGCCGGACAATCTTCCATCGTTAGACTAGCTGCAGTTGCCCCACTGTTTGTCAATTTCTCAGCCCTTGGGTATTCTTCTTTTTCTTTTTGAGTATCAGCTGATATACTATTAAGTGCAATGGTAACATTCATTATCATATAAAGATGGAACTTGCTTTGATGTAATTCCACTGATGCAATCAAGTGTTTGCTATCTGCACCGAAAAAATCAGGTCTCCTCAAATATATCCGTACATTGAATGATAGTTCACCACCTCAAAAATAGTTCGTTTCCGCAAAGCTAAGATTGGCAGGGAGACTGTTAGCCTCAGTCATGGATGAGAAGGCAAGAAAACATCCACATCAAAAGGTCTGTATTCTTCCCAAGGGTGAAAGCCCTCGGGAGGGATTTCACGATGTCTGCTTTGAAGATATCACCAGAGTGGTGGACCGGATGTCGTGGTGGATAGCTAGGAAGCTCGGCTTTGGGGATGACCAAACACTAGCCTACCTGGGCACAAATGACATCCGATACCTTATTGTTTTTCTCTCCTGCAATAAAAGTGGTTACAGGGTATGTTAAAGGGTCTGGTGACTATCCGAACTGCTAGTGACCTCTTGAATAGCTTTTTCTTCCTTCAACAAGGAATTCCGAGGAGACGTTCCTGCATCTGTTGAATGAAACGAATACCAAAACAGTGCTGCACTCCCCTGGATTAAAAGAACATATCCCAGGAGTTGGCAGACTTGTTACAATGATGGAGGTAGTTGAAATACCCTCCTTGAACAAGTTATGGAAGAAGCAAACGTCCTCCTACTCCTAAATCAGATCATTCCGTGAAGAACAGGATCATATTGCATTGATTATGCACACATCTGGAACGACAGGTTAGTATTTAATCCTAAACCCCACTACCGGAGACAGTGGTTTGATAATTTTTAGGTCTTCCCAAGCCTATATCTCTGACTCACGGGTACTTTGCCACGATCGACAATGTCAATAAATTCCCTCTTCCGAAAGGTCGACTTCCATCGATCCCTTGCAATCCTTTGCTTGAAGGAGGTGCAGTTTTAACAGTTACCCCGTTTTATCATATAAGGGGCTTTTCATCTTTCGTTCAAGCGGTATTCGCTGAATTGCCGTTTGCTTCACCCCGAAGTAAGCCATTATCAGGAGACCTTGTTGTCGAAACACTACGGGAACTGCGCCCTGCCTCGGTTGTCCTTCCCCCGCCTTTCTGGATGGAATCTGGCCAAAGATTAGAGAGGCCAATGCTGGAGCCCCAGCCTATGGACGCGTCATGCGAAGTAAGATTGGGTTGGCGGCTGAGAATAGGCCCTTCAAAACCACGCCCAAAGGGACCACCCAACGCCGACTAATTCACCACGACTATGAAGATTTGATTGAGGCCTTATACGGAAATGATCATAAGAGGGACTTGGAATGTCCGGATGAGGGATCTTTGGCCAACATCTTAACCTTCATTCGTCAGGTCGTTCACAATCAACTGGACAACAGGAATGTCCACGATGCTGACGACTTGTATAGCGCTGGTTTTGACTCTTTGCAAACCGTATTCCTTGCAAACGTGTTGGGCAGCGCAATAGCATCAAAACATCCAGAATGGGATTTATCAATAAACATACAAGATGTTTACACTCACCCAACCATTGCTAGCCTATCCCAATACGTTACAGACCGGCCGCAGGGTAACAAGATCAACACAGAAGCAGCACGGTACGAAATGATCAATCACATGGTTCAAAAATACAGTGACAGTCTTCGTTCTGAGAGACCATTTACATTGTCGAGAAAGAAGCGGGGGAATTTGCATGTCGTCCTGCTCACAGGCTCCACCGGGTCTCTGGGAAGCTATATTCTGAATCAGTTGCTCAGCTCCATGACCGTAATTGCCTATTTGCCCTTGTTTCTGAACCGATGGTCAAGCAGCTGAGCTGCATGTGGGCATAACTAGACTGGCTGACCCAATCCGCAAAGTAGACAGATCTAGGTGGGGTGCGGTTCACCCGCAATGGATGTAAGACTGGTAGTGGATCAACACATAAACTAGCTCCGTACATGCCAGTTATGTCAGAATACCTTATTTTAACGACAACTTCAATTCCGTATCTTCGATTGGGACGAGGTCATCTTACGGCGGACTATTTGTCCGTTATGAACTTTTGGTTCTTCTACAATGAATACATCTCACCACTCCTGCGCTCCCTACGGTCGCACGCACTGCACTGTTATTTAATACCATATAGTAGGAATATTGAATCATAGTATAGTCAGGGTATTGAATACTAGTTTACTTATATATAGTTTGAATAAGCAGTATCCATAGTGGGGGACTGTGGGGGACCCTATATATGCTTTATAATATATATTCTACCTATACAGCGCGCCACCTTAGTATATAAGATGATTTCATATCGATACTATATAACGATCCTGCCATTAATGTTTGTGGTAGGGGCAATAGATAATACATGCAGCGAACAGTAAAAAGAAACCCTAAAAAGTCCCACAATGTACAAATAGTCTGCCGTACTATGTAATGTCTACTTGCAGCTTCAATTGATTCACATGTTACATTTCCAAGGAGAAAAAGAACTCGATATAATTGCATCACGTCTCTTTCGGCCTCATTTACAGAACGGCACATTTCGCAAACAGCGATGCAAGCTTGTGTGCGAAGAATGTCGAAAACAGAAGCTCCGCTGCGATGGCCAGCGGCCGCGATGCGGAGTATGCGTGGAGGCAGGCATCAGCTGCGACGCTAATCCGCAGCGATCAACGAGGGGTCCTAAGAATAGTCTGCTCAGATTCTCTTCGAATCCGTGCTGGTAGGTTTGATTCTATGAGCAGATGAGCAGAGGACGATAGCTTAGTTATAAATTCGTACCGAACTTCAGCGGAACTAGAGAGTCGCCTTCAGGTGCACACAAGCAGTCTGCGTTCGGCGATAACTAAACCAGTCAGAACAACCATCCGGATGTGAGTATTCCTCCAGTGTGCGAAAGTCCTTCCACAGATGCCGGCTCCGCCAACCATCACGCTACTCTGGTGCATGAAAGACTTCCGGTAGAAGACTAAAGTAAATGCACAGCCTTGTTATCAGAAGCAGATCTGTAAGACATGGTGCTGAGACCATGCATAACAACACCAGTGCTGAAGAACAGCGTAGGACATTCTGGATGTTGTTTATTCTGGATCGCCTAGTCAGCATGCGAAACAACTGGCCGTTGGCATTTAATGAGCATGTGGATGGTAACGAAAGGAAACAGGTTCCTACGCAAGATTGAGGATTGACAGACAGATTTAATATGCTAGATCTGTACTCCATTTCCCACACGCCCGAGGAACACTTCCAGGATTGCATAAATAATGTTGGCGGTTTCCTTTCCTAGGAGATTGCTGATCAATCTAACCGCGACTTGCCTCCATTCACTACACTGATTATCTTTGTTACGATCTGCAGCCGCTGTATATTGCATGAACAACAAGCAGGGGTAGAGCTTGTCTATGGTAGCGGCTCTAGCAGCTTTTGGGATCGACGTCAATGGCTCCATTCGCTCTTAACTTGGAATATCGGAGCATTAACCTGGGTCCCCGTACTTTCTCGAAATACAGCAGATCCTATGCGTGTCTTTGCCCACATGGTGGCACATACGACACTTATTTACCTTTACAATATCTCAAAATCCTTACCACCGGAAAGCATCAAGCCAGTGATCCTGCCTGATTACCAACAAGACCCATTAGCGGCTGCCATGGAAATTGTTAATTTAACTCAAGTTTTCAATGAGCTCAGTATTTTCAAAGTAACACTCTCTGTTCCAGTCTCTAGCATCAATTTAACAGTAACAGACA